TTTCTTATATATTCTGGATAGGAGATTATTGTTGGATATATGGACTGTGAAGTTATTGTCCCACTTTCTATAATGTCCCATTATTATATTGGTGGAGAAGCTGAGGCCCACAGAAGGAAAGTGTCTAGCCTAAAGCAAGGCAGCACAACTGGGGCCCAGGTGTTCTGACTCTAATCTGACCCTGCCTCTACAACATTTCTGCAAGGCCAGTCTCCCAAACTGACATCACAGGCCAAGCTTTTGCACAGACAAACAACACTGTGAAGTAGAGAGGAAAGTATTAGGGCTCTGGAGTTAGAGATGTCAGGATCCGATCTCTGCTATGTGTTCTTCCTCTGTGACCTTGGACAACCTCTTCTCCTTCTGAGCCTGTTTTCTCACCCATAAAGTGGGGATTCTGAGGCCTTCTTCGTGGGGCTGTTGAAAGGATGGTGTTAAGTAGTGTCCGCCTAAAATTCATGTCCACCAAAACATCAGAAGATGACCTTACTTGGAAATAGGGTCTTTGCAGATATAATTAAAGGTCTCCAGATAAAGTCATTCTAGATTAAGATGGGCCCTAAACCCAATGAATGATGTCCTTATAAGAAGAGGAGAGGGCAGAGAAGACATGCACAGGAAAGAAGGTCATGTGAAGACAGAGGCAGAGACCGGAATTATGCTACCATAAGCTAAGAAATGCCTGAGGCCACCAGAAGCTGGAAGAGGCAAGAAAGAATTCTCTTGTAAAGCATTTGGAGGGAGCATGACCCAGCCAAAACCTTGATTTCAGACTTCTGGCTTCCAGAACTGTGAAAGAATAAATTTCTGTTGTTTTAAGCCACAAGTTCATAGTAATATGTTATGGCAGCCCTAGGGAACTAACACAGTGGGATGATAAGACCCTGGCCCATGAGAAGGGCTCACTGACAGTGGCTGTTTTTATTATAGTCCAGTAAGATGGCTAAGCCAGAGGAAGGAAGCTCTCCCCACCTGCCCTCCTGATAGGAGAGAGATCCTGGTTACTTTGTTGCCACCATTACACACGTCATTTTTTCTTTTTAGGTCCTCCTCACAGAGTCACCTGCACCCAGAGGTGGAACAAGGGGCCTACGGAGTGTTAGGGCCTGGAAGGGGCTCAGCTACTGAGCGCCCAGTCCAGACTGCATTCTAGACTTCCCTTCCACCCTTGTTATTTACCTGCCTCCTCCTACAGAGGCCATGCCTGTAGAACCTCAGTGCCAATACCCTTTGTCTGTCATCTGATGGACCTTCCATAATGTCCCTAAAATATACTCTTCCTCTAGTTCCTTCCCCAGTCAGAGGATACCACTGAGCTTGACACCTGGATGTCAGAGCAGATGTCTCCCTTCATCACCTACTCTCCCACTTCCCTCCTTCCTTAGCCTTTCAGTCACATGGCCTATCCATGGGATTCTATCTGGATTCATCTCTTGATGAAGCACCTGCTTTGGTCTCCACTGTAGGACTCTTTTTTTCTGTCCCCTTGAGTACCCCCCCACAGGGCCCTTAGAAACAGCTCTGAGGAGAGACAAGATCACGAGGGTGATTCAGTGCTCAGACTATGGAGTAGGACAGACCTGGTTTAAATCTTAACTCAGTTGCGTACTAGCTCTATGAACTTAGCAAACTTTCCTGACCTGTGAAATGGGGTTACAAAAGCTTCTTTTTTATAAGGTTCTTGTGAAAATAAAATGATAAAATTCTTTAGAAAATTTAGCACGGTGCCTGGGATTTAGTAGGTGCTTAATAATAAGGGGCCCTGGTGGTGCAGTGGTTAAGAGCTCAGGCTGCTAACCAAAATGTCAGCAGTTGGAATCCAACAGCTGCTCCTTGGAAACCCTGTGGGGCAGTTCTTTTCTGTCCTATAGGGTTGCCATGAGTCTGAATTGACTTGACAGCAACGAGTTTGGGTTGTTTTTTTTTTAATAAGTGTTGGCTTTCATTAATGTTGCCTTATCTGTCCCATCTACCTGAATCATTTTTTTAAGGTCTGTCTTAGACCCATCCTCTCACCCACAGGTGGAATTTACCACTACAACCCCTGCCCCACCCAACACACACACCACACATGCACACACACAATTTCCCTCTGTCTCTACAGTAGTACAAACCACAGATCACTTTGCATTGGAGTTGAAGCTTTTATTAGAGCTTTTTATTAGAGCTTTCTCTGTCATCTAAGAGCTCCTAAGGTGCTAGGAGGCTATTGGAGCCCTATTCATCTACCCTAGACTGACCTGGAATCCAGTATGATTCATCTGCTTGAATCACTGAGGCCTGGAGTACACAGGAACCACTGCCTCGAAGGATCAGGCCTTCTCTCTGGTCTTGAACAAGCTAGGGTACAGTGCAGGGAGGGTGCACTCCAGGCGAGGGGAAGAGCTGAGGCAACGATGGCACATTTCAACCCTCCAAGAAGACCACATGTATTAGCTTCATATTGCCACTATAACAAATTATCACATACTCAGTGGCTTAACCCAACCAACAATTACTGTTGAGTTGATTCCAATTCATAGCAACCCTATAGGACAGAGTAGAACTTCTCCATAGGGTTTCCAAAGCTGTAAATCTTTACAGGAGCAGGCTGCTACATCTTTCTCCTGCTGAGTGGCTGGTGGGTTTGAACCTCCTACCTTTCAGTTAGCAGCCAAGTACTTTAGCTACTGTGCCACCAGGGCTCCTCACTCATTGGCTTAAGACAACAGAAATTCATTCTCTTACAGTTCTGCAGGTCAGAAGTCTAAAATGCTTCAGCAGGGCTGTGTTCCTTCTGAAAGGTCTAGAGGAGAATATATTTCCTTGCCTTTTTAGCTTCTAGAGGTTGCCTGCATTCATCGGCTTCTGGCCCTCTTCCATCTTCCAAGCTAGCAATCACATCATTCCAACTTCTGCTTTCATCATCCCGTCTTCTATGATCTTTGCCTCCCTCTTTCCCTTATAAGGATCCTTGTGATTACACTGGGCTCACCCAGATAATCCAGGATAATCTATCCTTGTCAAGATTCTTAGTTTAATCACATCCGTAAAGTCCATTTTACCACATAAGGTAACATATTCACATGTTTAGGCAATTAGGGTGTAGACATCTTTGTTGTTGTTGTTGTTAGTTGCTCTTGAGTTGGCTCCAACTCATGGAGACCTTATGTATAACAGAAAGATGTTGCCCAGTTCTGCCCCATCTTCGTGATCTTTAATATGTTTGAGCTCGTTGTTGAAGCTATTGTGTCAATCCATCCCAGTGAGGGTTTTCATCATTTTTGCTGACCCTCTACTTAACCAAACATGATGTCCTTTTCTAGTGATTGGTCTTTCCTGATGATATGTCCAAAGTAAGCAAGGTGAAGTCTTGCCATCCTCCCTTCTAAGGAGCATTGTGGTTGTATTTCTTCTAAGACTGATTTGTTCATTATTCTGCAAGTCCATGTTGTTGTTGTTAGGTGCTGTCGAGTAGGTTCCAACTTATAGTGTGACCGTATGTACCACAGAACAAAACACTGCCCTGTCCTGCGCCATCCTCATAATCATTGCTATGTGTGAGCCCATTGTTGCAGCCCCTATGTCAATCCAAGAGGGTCTTCCTCTTTTTTGATGACCCTCTTCCTTACCAAGCATGATGTCCTCCTCCAGGGACAGGTCCCTCCTGATAACATGTCCAAAGTACGTGAGACAAAAGTTTCGCCATCCTCGCTTCCAAGGAGCACTCTGGCTGTACTTCTTCCAAGACAGGCTTGTTCGTTCTTCTGGCAGTCCATGGTGTATTCAATATTCTTTGCCAGTACCATAATTCAAATGCATTAATTCTTCTTCGGTCTTCCTTGTTCATTGTCCAGCTTTTGCATGCATATGAGGCATATTTGCCCAATGCAATACATTGTTTGATTTCTTGACTGCTGCTTCCGTGGGCATTGATTCTGGATCCAAGTAAAATGAAATTCTTGACAACTTCAATCTTTTCTGTGTTTATCATGATGTTGATTATTGGTTCATTTGTGAGAATTTTCATTTTATTTACATTCAGGTATAATCCATAGTGAAGGCTGTGGTCTTTTGCTTTAATCAGTGCTTCAACTCATCTTAATTTTCCACAGCAAGGATGTGTCACTTGCATATTGTAAGTTGTTATTGAGTCTCCCTTCAATCCTGATGCCAAGTTCTTCTTCATATAGTTTGACTTCTCAGATTATTTGCTCAGCATACAAATTGAATAAATAAAGTGAAAGGATACAACCCTATTGCACACCTTTTCCAATCTTGAACCACATAGTATCCCCTTGCTCTATTTGAACAACTGCCTCTTGATCCACCTTTCAGGCACTATTGTTCAGCCTATTGCACCATGCCACCTTTTTT